AACATTTCACTTGTTAAGGTCCCTGGCGAATGGTATCAGCAGTGTGAACGCTACTGTCTGGATTGTCGAATGTGCACCGCCTCAGATCCGTGGCAGAATGGCGTCCATGCAGGAGTTCTTCATGGCTATTGGTAAGCTACAGTATCTTGGGCTATTAAGGCCATCGACAGAACTGCCCTCTACCAGTCAGGGCGACTCAATAAGCAAGCATGAGCTCTAGAAGGTTGGAGCCATCACGATGTTAAGCCACTTCTTCGGTTTTCCTTCTCAATTCGTGACCATTTGTAGCAGGGCATACAGGAACAGGGGAACCTATTCCAGAGGGTCAGTCAAGGCATCAAGGAAATGAGAGGGAAGGGCTGCGTTTGAATTGACGGCCTTCCTCTTCTAGGGACAGTGCTGTTGTGAGGAAAACCTGCGCGCGCCCAGGAGAGGGAACACGGGGCCAAACTAGTGTCAGGCTTTCCTCTGCCTGGCTTAATATGTTGCTTAAGCAGCTGCAGCCACTCACAGCCAAGTAGAGGACCCTGAAACCCTCACTGCGCTTTTTTTCAAGCCACAAAAACCGGGAAAATATCCACCATTCTGTACAGCCCCATCCTACTCATGGTAGACGTTGATTTACCAGGCTTAATTGTGGAATATGCCGCCAGAGTTCATATAAGAGCGATGCAAGATTTTATCCGTTTTTAGGCTCACTGATCACTCAAGCGTTTGGCGTTCCATTCTCTAACGAAGAACTTTGGCCTTTCATCTTCTTGCCGAATGCCGCCTTCGTACTTCTCTCAATGGTTCTGTTCTTCGTTGTTCATGAATCACCGCAATTCATAATAGAGAAGACAGGAAATCGTGAAAAGGTGGGTGTTAAAACCGCTTGAAATGCTTCAAAAATAGTTCATGTGACAGTTTTAGGCTCGTAAGGCCCTTGCAGCCTATCACGGTGTAGGAGTCGAAGATGCAACAGTTGAAACGGAAATGAAAATCTGTGAAGATAGTGTCACTAAATCAAAGGAGAAGGCAAAAGCTAAGGTACGCATTTTCATTTAGTTGGGATTCTTCTGTAGTACATTTTTCAACAGTACTTCAATCAATCATTTCAGGAGGCGAAATCCCCCATACAGACCGAGCACGACTCAGTGACCGTGATTTTCATGCCATGGAAAGCTCGAGACGACAGTTCTAAGGTGATTCGTGAGGCGGCATGGCTTGGAGTGATGGTGAAGGTAAGGTATTTTGAAGTGTCGATTCTTATAAAAATAATAAAGCATTTGCCGTTGATCAATCCCTTTTTGGGATGCGGCACGCATTCTACTTCCATTTGTACATTCGTAGTGGCGTTTGAATGCGATGTGGCCTATACAATGACTTGCGGGGGCCAGCCGATGTACAAGTCAGTGTTTTTATCCTCCCAGACAAGTCTGGTACCAATTAACCGACCCCGGAGGGATGGAAGGCTTGGTTGGCCCGGGCGACTCACGACCCAGGATTTGATCCCCGGACCGCTCGCGTGGTAAGCGCGCCACTTGCCACTACACCACTTCCGCCCTGCAGAGTTTATTATGCGAAAATTCCAAAACAAATGTCTGCTGCATCCGAGTTAAACGATTCTAGGCAACTTTTAGATCTGGGGGTTAAACGGCCATCCGGTCATTTCCTTAGGAGTGAGCGCTCCCACCGCGCTAGCCCAGAGGGAATGGAGGGGCTCGCAACAACGTATGCTTTCACCGTTCAAACTTTGACTTTACGAGGTGTTACTACTTTCTTGCATCTCTGATGCCGATTATATGCGAGTCACTGAATGTAAAACTGGTACTGACGAGGTCTTTGCTAAACCTCCACTCCGCCACAGTCGCAAACAGGTGCTGGGGTGATCTGACAGATCAATGACTTGTTCATTGCATAACATCCGAAATATTCAGCGAACTCCCTACAACTACCCTTCCAATTCCTGTGCAATTTTGAGCAAAAAGTGCGCGCATGCGTATGCTGAAATGATCTGGGAAGGAGTCTCGCTTAATTCAGTGGAAGCTTTTCTAGCCCTAATAACCGAACATGATTCAGATTTGCGTACGTATTCACTGGAGCCAGATGTCTGCGAGCATTCAGTACTTTTGTTCTTTACAACCTGGGACGATGGAGTTACGATGGCGCACTTTACGGATCTTTCGCTATTAGTGAGTTTCTTCGCACTGATGGGTTGCTAAAAGAAGATTTGCCTCAACTAAGATGTCCTTTTCAGGTCTACTTAGAATTCCTTTCACTCTGATCCCAGTGTTTCTTGTTTCTTGTTGACCGTCTTGGACGACGGCCGGTTGCATAGTACTGAGTCACATCAACGGTGATCTCATTTCTGTCGCTGTCTCTGATGATAATCGGAATCGATCTCGGAGCTAGTTGGAAGGTCAGTTGAATGTGATTTTGGGCCGTTTCGAGACCCACTCTTCAGGTCCCATTGTAGCTCCCGCCTCATGCGATTTGGCGATCAGGCCGAAAGCAAAGCGTACATATGGATCTAAAAACGGAGATTTATGCAACCTCTGCGCAGATTCTGGGCGATGCATCAGACTAGACCAAGGCATCAGCTGCGAATCGATTGAAGCGGACGTTCGATGAGCTCGCGCGCACCATAAGTCGGGGAGGTCTCCCTATCAATACGACCATCATTCCTTTCGCCCAATCGCGTAAATCGCCTGCACGGATCGCTAACTCTCGCGAAACCGATAAATCGCATCAAAGCGCGAGCCCTCAAGGAGAAATCCGTATTGAATGTATTTTTTCAAGATGGCTTGGATGTGCCAATAGTGGGAGAGTATGTTTGCAGATTTCAAACCCTCATCGGATTATCGTCCCTTCTGCTGACGACCGCATGCGGTATTGGCTCCGTGTCCAGATTCTATGCTGCAGAACTTGTGCCTCGCAATCTATTGATCTCTTCCGTCTCGATTCTCACAATGTTTGAAGCATTAACGAAAATTGGCGTTGAATTCGCCTTCTATCCCATTGCCAATATAGTGAGTATAAGCTTCTATATTTACCCGATCTTATCAAAAAATAGAGGAAGCGCCTGAGACGTCTGTACGGTCCGTAAGACCACATACAGGCCAATTGAGCGCTTTCTCTCAGGGATCTGATTATCAGAATTTATCTGCCGGCTTTATCCTCTATTTACTGTTGCCATGCTTCACGCACAGTAACTTGTTTAGATTGCGCTCAATCGCTATTCCTGGTTCCTCGTTCCGACTGAGTCAGTTTCTCTTCATCAATGTGGCGCTTACCCAGAGGACCAGCAAGAAGAAACAGTTGCAATGAGAGTACGTTCCCTGCCTCCCTGATTGGACAAAATGATCGCTGACAGAAGTGGAAAAGCACGCCACCAAAACTGGTCTCTCCGTGATCTTTCTGTCGAATAAACAGTCCCATCTCTAAGTAGACCAAGTTTTCTTTTCTTTTCAGGTCCTGAACGAAATTGCTATTGAGGAAAAACCTGAAAGTGCTATTTCCGGTCTAAAGGCGGTTCCAGAGTTTGTAGATATTTAACTTCTCGACATATGTTTTTAGCATGCATATTTGTATCTGTAATATATCTGTCACTGTATTTTAGCTTCTTTTGAAGAAAATTGGTATATTTTGTGGGCAATTTTCCGGTTCTGCCTCTCTCTCAGACACACCTGTCGGGTTGTTTTCATTATGGCCAGTAGCCTTTAAATTAATTCGTAAAGCTTTCTCAGAGAATGCTATTAGATTTTGACGGATCGATTTCGATCATATTATGATATTATTTTATTGCATGTTCTATGAAGTTTTATTGCCATGAATAAATTCAGATCTTTGAATCTGTTATTCCACATGCAGAACTGGTTGATTTACGGGTCATTTCGTCTATCAACTCTACTAATAATAATTTCAATGATTTTTAGAATATGTATGTGCATTTGTCATGTACACTTCGCAGTGAGCATCAGCATGCCCTTGATGCGGACCCGAAAGGTACGGGGCCCCTTAAAAAAATTCGCGTGGTTGAGTTGGGAAACCTCTCGAATCCGACTTATCAAATCGAAGTCCACGTGATCTCAAAACTTTATTTCTTAGCACGAAATGGGTTACGCGGGAGGTACGAAGTGTCAGTGCCGTGAGAAAAATGAGGATCTCATATGAAACTACTAGAGGTTTCTGGGTCTCTGTCTTGCTCCCGCGTAGGGGGACTAATTGGACGGAGCCATCGGATAGACTTGCGAGCACAGGTAGAGAAACAGTTAGAGGACGAGGAGGGCATGCAGAATAGCGAAACGCAGACAGTCCACGCGTTTGCGCCTCTTAGGTAACCCTAGTCCAGCTATGCAGACCAAGCCTGCACTCCGTTGAAGGAATCTTTTCTGGAAACATCGTGATTCTATCTCACCCAATCACTAGTTGAGACCGCTCCTATATGACAGGCACGAAAAGAAAAAAATTGCATTGGTTTTTGGTAATTGCTGCTCAAAAGCCGAAAGGACTGCTACGGCTTCAAATTCCCACCGGACATCTGTCACAAATGCTGGCGACGGGAACGCTTCCACTTGGTTCTCGGAGTACCGTCACTAGAAACTCTTTTTGGCCTTTTGACTTATTGCATTATACATTCACACTTCTGCCGAATCATATTCTATCGATTGTTTTGTCTCCATACCCCAAAAACCGCAACGAGGTGTAGAGCGTGGATGGTTCTTACTTGCGCCGCCTATACGTAAGCCGCCCAAGGCACACTACTTCGCGTCTCGCCTTGGCGAGCGTGGCGTGTGTTCGACGTTCCCTAAAGTGTGGGGTGGTTGCGGTGGGAATTGAATCTTCGCGCGAGTGAGAACGATCTTATGGTGTCTGCGGAGTGATCACAACTGACACGATTCATGTTGTTGAACAAGAATGCCAGAAAAATTCTCGGGGCAAGGCATTCCTTCTTAAATTTCGGCGCGCTTGCACTTCACGCACTTTCGAGTTGCGGAGGTGGCACACCCTCTGTGGTTGTGGACTCAGCCACCGACTACCCCTAGGATGTTGTTCCATTTGTGCTCTATAGAAAATGAACGCTGATAAGGTCAGTGGCGATCACTCAACGTCGGGACCTTCTTTATCTAGTGCGAACTTTTGTCTTGGCCATCTTAAAACCTAGACAGCAGACGCCAAGTAGGAGGAGCCCAACCTCAGGTCGGGCCTCCTCCTCATGAGCTCAAGGTGCATTTAAGACATCATACCAATATAAAGGCGGTCGTGTTCACCGATTCGAGGCAGCCCCATGGAGGAAGAGGCGATTGTGGACCAGTGGCCATGTAGCAGGGAGAAGAACAAGCCGGGGAGACAACGGTCCTAAACCCAAGAGAAGAGGGGTTCTGCCTTGTTGTTGACGCGCCGCCAACTGATGGCGACTCAATCGGTGGACTTCTCTCTTCACGCGGCTGCTGATGGATCGGAAACCCCGACGTGTGGCGACGGGGTTGAGCCAAGTCGGTGGCGTGCCGCGCCAGAGGCAGCGCACGCAAAGGAGAATGACCAAGCTTGATTAGGCTCGGCCACACGGCTTACCCTGTCGCTTGTGAATATGTAGATGTGTCGCTCTTACTCTCAGCAGAACCGCCTGCCTTTCACTAGGATGAGTTTCCATTCTAATCGACCTCGACGTCATGCGCGTACAATCCTCCTTTAAGCAACAGGATGGCTACCTGCTGCTCTCGTTATCACTTGGTTGTCCGGCATGTCTGAGACGCATTCAAAGCCCAAGGTGATAGGCACTGCTGCTGTTCACCCCTAAATCGGTTTAGATCTCATAAGCTCAGGGTGGGATAGCTCGAGAACAATGCAGATTGGAAGAGTGAACAGCGCTCAAGAACTCGTGTTCACGGTTCTCAGATCAAACTTTTTAGCGCCTACTGTTCCTTCACTTTCCTTCATGTCATTTCCATCGTTTGAATGTAAATATCGGCTGTTGCACAATTGTGAAGGTGCGGTTTCTATTTCAGGCAAAACGCGTACATGCTTTTTAATGCAAGTGCGGCTTTTTTGAACCTGCCGCTTCCATATGATTTACCACGTGGTGAATGGAATTCACATTGTAAAAAGCATAACATTTTAGCAATCTGAATAATGAAACCGTACCCATATGACGCCATGCCGTGCGTCATTTCTAGCATTAAAATCTATCATGCAGACTGTGTGAATCACTAAGCTCACTTTCTTTCAGCTTCTACTTGATTCTGCAAAAAAAAACGAGATTCCGCACCTCCAACTGGATGTGTAATTTCCTATATAATGTTAACTGCTGTTTCCCAGATCGCTCTCTATTGTATAAAACCCTCTGCGAAGCAGCTCTCAGATAATTACTATGATCCACAACTTCAAAGCATTACAGTACTCAATCACTGAGACTAGACTATTGGCCTTGATTGGGAGTTTCTGGAGCATGAAGACTGATCTTGCGTTTGTAGGGTCCGAGTCAGATCTGCATATAAACTGGATACATATTTCTAACCACCTGAATATGATCTTGTGGAAGCCTAGTCAGATTTGGTTGACGTTATTGTATCAGACGTAGAGTTTAGTTTCAGCAAACTTCGCTAACCAACCTAGTGCTATCCAACGCGACCACGCAGGTGGCATCCCATATGGGCTGCCGGCTAATAGTCGCCTACCGACCGTCTGTCAGCTTTTTTGCTTATTTTTGACATCAGAATAATTAATAATACTTTTGGATACTGAAAGTACTTGGTGCTATTTGTGTTTTTGTTCATTCACTACACAGAAATGGGTGTGATGTGGAGCGGCGGCAAAACTGCTCCCCTCCACCAAAAAGTGAAAAAGGGCGCCGTCGTGAATGTATTAATATATGTGGCATGGTTATTCCAATTGTTTAGCGGTACGTAAGAGTACTCATCCTTCTTAAAAGTGCATCGTGCAGATGCAGACTAAAATCAGCATCAAGTCATGGTCCGAAATCGTGACGGTAGCGAAGGATCAAAAGTGCAGAGGGCAACGAATAGTAAATATATTGCTGACATCGGACTCGTGCTGTAGAAATTGTGATTATGTATTGCGCGGAGGAACACAGAGTCCGTTGTTATGGCATGATGCATAAAATTGTTGTGGGGCCGAAAAATCAGAACTTACTGATGCCAGTCATGGGCACCGTGTGGTAGCTGCGGCTCAGCTGGAGTGGAGTCGTAAGTGAAGGGATCAACAGTGAGCGGAGCTGCGTTAGCTTTTACGGGAGTGGAACGCGACTCGTGCCGGCACCGTATG